AATTTAATATTAAAACTGAAGAACAAATCCTTAGTTTTAAAACAAAAAATATTTTTGTGTTATGAGAAATAGTCAAATTAATAGTAGTAATTTTTTTAAAATTAAAAAAATTTTTATAACTAAGTCAAAAATTGTGAATTTTGACTTTGTATGTGCAACTTTATCATCATTTGGAGGAGTGGTATGTAGCTGCATATAGGGTTTTTAAAAAAATCGGAATTAAATTTTTAAGCCAACTAGATAATTTGAATTATGGTTGATGAATTCGTAATTTTTTTGAACATTAAGTCTCCAAATCAAAAGAAAAATGCTTAAGTAGTGAGATAGTTTTTTTTTCAAAATAAAAGAATTTTTTGATTGTCAAAATTTGGAATGTCTAAATATTTTCTATATTATACGGAGTCATTTTCCTACAAATCATTCCCACGACTATTCATTGAGAGGACGAAATTATTAACAGTTGGGTTTTAAATATTTGAATTTGCTTGTATTTTGCTAAGGTGATCAGTACTATTATTGATTGTAAATTATCTTTAAAAATAAAATTTGCCCAAATATATGCAATTTTTTCCAAAATCATAAAACTACTATTATATCAATTTCGTTTATAAAATTATAATTTTTAAACATGTATTATAATTTTTATTATATATCAAAAGTTTTCCTTCATAAAATTTAGTTTAATATTCACTAATAATAAATGATTAATATTTAATAAACCTTGCTTATATATTTTTTGTATAATTTACTTCTTTCGAAATAAATAGTATTATCATTGGTTAACTTTTTTATTTTTTTATCGAAATTTTACTATTTATACACAATAAATGAAGAAATAATACTGAAACAAAGTCTGCATAATTTTATTTTTAATTTTTATAATTTTTAAGTCAATAATTTTTTCTCCTTTATTATAAAAACAAAAATCAACCTTAAAGCTAAAAGGCAATATAAGAAATACAAATAGAGGACATCATAATTCATATTAAAATACACAATGCATAAAAAATTTTATTTGTGGGGGCATAACCCTGCAGGAAATTTGTTTACTGTTGCAATGTTAGTTTACATTCAAAACTATTTATGTAAAACGCGTATGTTTACTACTTTTCTATACAATTTCTCGTTTGTTAAGAATTTACATTCTTTTTTTTTGTTATTGTAAACGCTGCACATTTTCATTTAAAAAATTATGAATAAGATTTAAAAACTATTCAATTTTGCGGAAATTTTCTTTTGTGAAATAAAATCTTTTGAGGATATTTGAATTTTTTTTCTTAGATTGAGTTCAAATGTGTTTAAAGGAATAAATATTTGTTAATAAATTTTGTAATATATGTATGTACGTATAATTTATGATCTAATGCGCTATACAATATAGGAAAATTTTCTTGTTAAAAATAACTTTATATTTCGAAAAATTTTCGTTAGAAGTATATGTGAGTAAACTGTCCTTGAGAAGAAAATTTTTTACAATTTTAAAAATATTTAAGATTTACTAAAAAATTTTCATCATATTGTATTTTGACGAATTCCAACATTCAAAACAAAACAAATTTTTATTAAAGTTCCAAAATACGAGTATAATATCTAATATTCTTAATTTTTGAACAATTTTACTTACACACTGTACTTATTTGTATTGGAGCAATGTCATCAATAAATAAAATATAATTTTTTATTTACAATCATGACCAATACAGACGTCAATATTGTTTTCGCCATATTATAAAAAAAAAATGAAAAAGAAAATTTTCCATCAGAAAAGACAAAGAAGAATAAAAAGAATTGAAAATAATTCAAATAATTCAAGAAATAAAAAATGTTCACCAATTCTTATATTTTTAAAAAATATTTTTCAATTTTATGAATTTCTTTTTATTTGCGATGATGTCATTTTCATAGAGTTGCCAATATCATATGAGATGCAAAATGAAATGCAATACAGGACGCTTGTTGTCTTCATATTGCTTTGTCATAATAATTGTTTTTTTTTTTTTTACTTTTGTGTCATTTTCTTTATATTTGTAACAAAATTGTTTTCAATATTGTCATCCTTTCTTTTTCCCAATTTTATTCTTATAGTAAATTGTATAGTAAGTTGGAAAAGTTTAATATAATTTTTGGAAGTTCAAGAATGTTATCAATAAAACTCATTGAATAATATGTAATTTTTATAATATGAAAAAATACAGTGTGACAGTATTTATATTTAACTCAAAATTGAATTTTGAGGGCTAAGAAAGTTTGACAATGTTTTAGAGTTGTAATTCTATTATAAAAAAATATATCAAATTACAGAAAAATAGGTTATAGAAAATATAGTCCGTTACGTAGAACTTTAAACACATTCAACTATAAAAGCGAAATTCAATTGTTCTTCAGTTTAACACAATCTGTTAGTGTATTAAACTGAAACATTATTCAAAACAATGTTAGAATTGGAATTAGTCGGAGCACTTGCTACGAATTGAAGTTTAGTAGTAGATTAATTAAGCCACCAGGTTTGATATAGCTTTCGAGAAATAGAGTGGAACAACTCAATGAATGAAAACAATTAAATAAAAGATTTAGCGAAATTTAGTCTAAGAGGTAGTGATGATTTACCTAATTATTCGCTTTATTACTGGAGCACGTAAAATTTTCCTTAGACCTTCTAAATTTGATACTATTGCGTTATACCTTGCAAATGTAAAATATAACAAGTATAATTATATGAAATTGTGTTGGTAAAGAACTGAGGAACCAGAAATAGTGCAATTTTATTTTTATACAAAGTAATAATAATAACACATTGGAACTAAAAATAATCCTGCAGGATTCTTATTGTTCTTCCATTATTTTTTTATTTCTTGTGTTTTATTTCATCGCCAAATCTACAGTATGTTTCATATAAATTGAAATTGTTTTTGTTTTTTATTTTTTTGAAATTGATTTGATTTCTCATTTTTCTTCATCTATAAATGATATTATTTATATAAAAGTGCATATGCTGTTGAAAATGTTAAAGTAATAAAAGTAACGTAAAAAAAATAAAAAACAGAATAGAATAAAAGGATTTTCGTTCTCTCTTTATTTTTGTTCGTTTGCAGTAAATTAAGAATATCTATATCAGGATACGTCGGAATCAAGCTCTATACCTACATATTTGTATAGTCTATTTACATAGCTTTACTAGAGCACATATCGTATTAACATTTTACATACATATGCACAATACGAGTATAATTTATGTTTTACTTTTATTTTGTATTCAGTAAAGATATTATTCACCCAACCGGGGAGCTATGTATTGTTGAAAAGTTTTGAAATGTGAATGTTTACACATTTGTATATAAATGTGTGTGCACGTGACATGTATATTTTTATATTTAAAATATTACAAAACATGAAATAAAATTATTGATGGTTTAAATTAAAATAAAATGTAGTGAAGAAAAAGGTGAACTACATCAAGAAGATGGAATTGAAAATAAAAATAAAGAGAAATAAGGCAGTGTTTCTACATCAAATTAATATTGTTCATGTTATTTAATAAAATAATATTGTTCAGATGAAACTTTAAATTGCACTTTTTGGAACATAAACATTTGCAATATACAAAAATAATGCATTATACATTAAAAAATAAAAAGAAACTCTGTTAAAATGGTGCTTATTTTTCGCCATTTTGTAGATCGAAGAAAATCTGATGTGAATTGAATGGCCTTCTTATAAAACACTTATGTCGAATTTGAACAAAAAATTATTCCGAACTGCTGAAATTTAAAAAAATTTTTTTTTGAATTAAATTAAATGTAAAAAAATTAAATTCAAAATTTCAAAGAACGTGTTGTAGTTAAGCTTATTTGAACACCCAAAGTGTTTTTCATTATATGGAGGTTTCGCAAATCAGAACTTTAACTTTGTCTTATAAATCATTTAAATGTGTCATAAATGTACTCATTAGTAAATACCGTGAGTACACTTTCCTAAGTAACAACTACAATTAACGGCAAGTAACGAATGCACTAGTAATATAATCCTAAAATTGGTTACTAACTCGTAGCATAACGAATTAAAAAAATTCAAATTTAATAAGGATTGAAGTTCCTATTTTATGCATATACATATGGGTTAGTAATGTATAACGTTTGTTAGCTCAATCTTTTTTTTCATTAATCAGGGCAATTTTTAAGTTGAAATTGCTTAAAGCATAAGAAATTAGTCAAGCATCGTAATGTGAATAAAATTGTATCTAAGCATGTGTTTATTTAATTATAAATCAATTCTCAAATTGATTAATTTTTGGTACTTGTCTTCGTTTTACCAATTTTTTTATTTTGTATATAAAGAAAACTGAATCTTATAACGAAGAAGCTAAATTTTTCTATATATGGAAAAACTAGTTCAATATTAAGCAAAAAATTCAATTTCATCTTCAGGCCGAGAAGTTTATCATGTAGAAATTTGTATAATATTTTTATATTTATATTTTATGTTAAAATTTTACAAAATTTCTGAAATTTAATATTTAATTAGTTGAATAGAATTTTTTTTTATATATAAAATTTTCTTTAAATTAGATGTTCGATATGTAGAGATTTCACTGTATTTATTATATATATATTATACAGAATGTATCAAACATTAGTTTGTAGTAGAGTCTTCAAAAGAAAACATGGCGCAATGAAATAACAAAACAAGAATATTTTTTGCTCCAGCTTTTTCTTTCTCCCGAAAATAAAAACGGGAATTCAAATAAATTTCAAAGGTGAACACAAGCATATTCTTCATATATCTTTTTTTTTTTAATTTTTGCATATAAAACAATTTTCTCTTTGAGAATAAGTTAACGGTAAATAATTTAAATATTTTTCTTTAAATACCATCGCATATGAAGAAAATATTTTGAATTCTCGCACATATCTATATAGACCATATGTCACAACACATGCATTTTGTTTGGGTATGGGTTTATTCAAATATTATTGAAAATATATTTTTCATCACATAAATAGGTTATGATCCAATAAAAGGATTGTTCTTAAACAAAGAAGTTGGTGCTTTTTCTGAGTACAATTTGAAACAGAGGAATTCACATCCCATGCAATAAAAATTATCATTAGTTGGTAAGAAAAAGCAAATACATACATTTTATCTTTTTTATTTTTTTCTAATTTTTTTAAGAACTTTTATGAGTCAATTTATGAAAAGGATATAGCGAAAGCGGTAGTGTATTTTAGTTGTTTTCAATAGATTTATGAAGGAACGTGAAAAAAATGTTTGAATACTAGTTTTTGCCAGTTCAGCTGCTTAGATAGCCAATTCTTGACGCTTTCATATAAAAAAATTTAAGATAGAATTTAGTTTATCAATCAGAGTTGCTGTTAGAAATAGAATAGAAAATCTCAAAATGCTCAATAAATCAATGAACATAATATTTAAATTGTGAAAAATTTTTTTTCTGTACCTCCGTATTTCCGAGAAAAAGTGAAAAGTATTTGTCATTAAGGTCTTATTACTTCAAGCTTAAACGCTTGAAATTGGCACAATGAAAATTGGCACATAATTCATTATTTTAACAGCGCGCAGATTGGCCGCTAAAACCAGAAAGATTGGCTCACTGAAAATTGTACACGGTAGGGGCTCTATCAGAAATTCATTAAATATGTTGAAGCCGTTTATCGCTGAAAAAGTTTTTACTTTTAATTTTTCAAAAGTTTTCAGTTCTTGAGAAATCTCTTTTATAAAATTAAGCTAGTATCGGGATGCATATAAAATATAAAAACAAATTATCAATAGTCTACATTGCGTTTAACTATTGGGCAATATAATGAATTCTACAACTGGGATGCTATTACAATTTTTCACAACAAAACCTTAGAAATGGGAAACAACAATTCATCTTTAGAAATGGGAAAGTAAAACGTCTTATAACAAGAATTTTTTACTAAATTTACTTTATATTAGAACTTACTTGTAGAGACTTCTGTAATTTCGGCAACTTCACATTTATTCCCTTTAAATCCTTTTGGACATATACACTTAACTGCTACATCACCAATTTGTCTGTAAATAAAAAAATAAAATTGATTTTATTGTCTACTGATTGAACTTTTTAAAAAAATAAACTTAGTAAATTTATTGAAATAGAAATTATGGAATTCTCAATGTATGTAGACATCAATTTAACAGAAGACAAATTTAACAGGATTATGCTTTATTTAAAAATTTATCGACCATCAAAACTTTTGCATTTTATGAGACAAAAACAATTTTTTTATACCCGTACGAACGTATGTTCGAAGGGTATACTAAATTTGTCTTACCGTTTGTAACGCTAAGAAATAACGGTGTTAGATATAGACTCAAGTGTATGTTTTTGATCAGCGTCAAATTCTGAGTTGATTTAGCTTTGTCTGTCCGTCCGTCCGTCCGTCCGTCCGAACGATAACTCAAAAACTAATTGAGCTAAGTTCACCAAATTTTCACAAATGATTTATGGTAGTAAGTGCCAGAACCCTATTTAAATTGGACATGATCGGGGTACCGGTTCGGGTAGCTGCCATACAACTTCAAAATTTATTTGGCTATATCTCAGAAACTATAAAAGTTGTGGTATTGAAATTTCACACAAACGAATATATTGGTAGGGCCAATGTGTCTCATAAAAGTCGTTGAAATTACTCGGCTCCTTCTGGTACCTACCATACAACTTCAAAAGTTATTTGACTATATTTCGGAAACTATTAAAGCTATGGTATTGAAATTTCACACAAACGAATATATTAGTAGGCCAATGTGTCTCATAAAAGTCGTTGAAATTACTTGGCTCCTTCTGGTACCTGCCATACAACTTCAAAAGTTATTTGGCTATATCTCAGAAACTATAAAAGCTGTGATATTGAGATTTCACACTAGTGAATATATTAGTAGGGCCGATGTGCTTGATAAAATTCGCTAAAATTTCTTGGCTCTTTCTGGTAGCTGCCATACAACTTCAATAGTAGTTTGGCACAACCAGTATTTTGAAAAACACAGAACTGAAATTTTGCATAAATTAATATGGTAATACGGCAACTTAAAATCATAGTCTGCCCCCTAGTTAGTTATGGCACATTAGTTATTCGCACATAGGATAACAAATTCGTACGAATATCACAGAGTTGACAAGGTCAACTCTACTTTTTTTCTCGTTTTTCGTTATTGCTATATTCAATTTAACAGAAAAAATTTTATTTCTATATTGAATAAAAAATATTTTAAATTATTATTTTTCTTAAATGAGTTTTAGTTTTATTAAATTTTTCGGACTCAGATTCACATAAATTAGCATATATAGTTATTGTTTTGTTTAAAATCTGCTCTTTTCTCCTCAATAATTCCACCAAAATGAGCTTTAAGAAATGGGTTAATTTTTTTTTTTCATTAAAAAATTCACTCAAGGATACTGTCGCTGTCGCAAAATACTAAAAATTAGTAGAAAATCGTCTAGAAAAATATTTTTTTAAACTGTTTATCCTCTGTGTTTTGAATTTTATCGACCGCATTGGACACAAGGCAGGTTACGTGCTGGAAAGAAACAATTTTTAGAAAGATGTCATCTGTGGGTGTGCTTGTGCACATAAGTATCTCAAGTTCGGCTGAATCGATTTTGATAAAATAATTTTGTATGTGAGTTTATTTTGAATTAATCAAATCTTGGGATATATTAGGCCTTGAGAATTGGAGTTTTTCACGAGCTTATTTTACATTTTTGCGAATGTAAAAGGAAATAATCAACCAATTCAAAGGGTTAAAGCAATAAAATAATTTTTTTGGAACGATCAGAGCCCGGAAACTGTACTGGGGCTGAATTTAGAAGTTTTTATCATATTATTTATTTCAATTCTGTTGGCAACCGAAACTTCCTGGTGAATTTTTCAGGGAAATCCGGATGGTGCAAAGCAAATCTTCTCAGAGCCAAATTTACGTTTTTCGAGATATGTTAACTAAAAGATTACTAGTGTCCTTAAAATTTTAAAGAAATGTTTAAAAGACATTTTCATAATTTTCTGACACATTTTTTTGTTTTAAATCGTAATAAATTTAAACTCGTTTAAAAGATTTAAAATTTTCGCAGTATTTTTTAGTATGTAATTGTGTTGAAAACCGGAAGGTTAATGGATGTAATTAGTTTAATTTAAATAAGTTTATTCAATTTTATGCAGTTAAGTCCTTGCTGCTCTTTTCGGTAAATGCTGCTCTTTTTGGTTTTCTTTTCTAAATATTTAATGATATGGCATAGCACTTAATGCTTTCCTATCACTTAAATTTTCGTGACTTAATCAACTTCAATTTTATCAAACTTTGCTCAAGTCACGAAATTTAAGCAATTTTTAACCAATGGAAGTTTTCTGAGTTACTTTTTTAAAATAATCGCCTATCGAACTGATCTATCGAAATATTTTGAGCTTAAACTTAAATTGAAAAATTTTTTTAATTCCTGTTGCCATTCGAGAAAATTACGATTTAGCACCTATTCCTTCTCAACATAAAATTAGTTTTTTTCCGTGTACTTTAAGTTGAATTTTAAAAATAAAATGTTTAGTTATAAAAACGGTATGACCATCATTGCATTTTTATAATTTTTGATAATGATAACATTAGCTTCATTTTTTATGTTCTTTTTTTTCATTATTATTAACTTTATGGAAATTTATTTTATACGTTTTTTACGTATGTATACAGTCTAGAAAATGCTATGAAAAATTCTATAATTTTAACTATGAGAAAATTTAAATACTCCGTACCCATAATACCATCATAGTTTTGGTATTGAAATGCAGGAATAAAGACAGTTATTTACCAAGTATAAATTTTATCCTTTTTGGAAAAGAGATGTTTTAACAGAATTTTTCGAATAAATTAATGAATAAAACGCTTTACGTTCTTTTTTGTACTTAATGTTTGCAACTGAGCACAAAAAATGGAAAATTCTTTAGAATTTGAATTTTTCCCCCCTTTAAAGAAATTGTTGAAATATTTTAATAACTGTAAAGGAATTTTTTTTTAAAGAGATCTTATTTTTTCCAGCTTAAAATAAAGATTATAAAATTACAATAATTAAAATTGTCTATTCAAAACTTTAAGTATATAAATACTAAATAGAGAAGTGTGCTGGTTATTTTGTTAAACACGGATAATACGTTGAGTGGCGTTGTAAAGGTGATAAGTATGACTGCTTGAATAAAAGAACTTAATAAATTTCAAGTAAACGAAAACAATTTTTCTATTCTATATAATAGCCCCTACAGAAAGTGATTGCAAAAAATAAAAGGATTTAAATATGCTGTTGATGTAGATTTATGTATAGTATGTAGGGAACTATGAGAATCACAGTGTTAATCGAGAGGCACAAATAAACGGTTGGAGCTTGTATTTAACTAAGATGTGTTTTAAATATATGTAAATACAAACTTAGAACTTTGTGTTCAAATGCAGATAGAGTTTTATGTAGGTCAAGAAATTGTTGCAAGCGACATAGAAGTAATTTTAATCACGAATAAAGGCCAAAAATCATTTTTTTTTGTTAAAATAAATTTTGGTGCATTTCAAAAATTCGTGTGCTTTTGTGGTTTATTCATCGATGTTTTGATTTGCACCTAGATCGTGTTTTATCATTAATAATTTTTGGAAATGCTGAATTTTGTGATGTTTTAATAATGAATTCTTAAACGATAATTGGCTTCAAAAATTAACAATTCATTGCGGACTTATTGTGTAAAAATTGTAAATTAAAATAATTTTGAATCTAACCTAATGCCTTACTATGAATGCAAAGCATTAAATAAGAAGTTCTATTCGATATTTTAAGTAAGATTGACTAAAAGCTTCAACTAGTTTATTATAAAAATTTGAATTTGTAATTGGAAACCATTCCTATAATTGATTTTTATACTATTGCGTGGGAGTGGAATCTTTAATTTGCTTCAACTAATTTTAGTTTAAATACATTATCGTTGTTCAGTTTTGAACATGTGTAATTAAAATAAAAAACAGTTTACTACAGTTCCGATCCCATAAACTTCAATCATCTTAAAGATACACAATAAAATATACAAACAAGTATATTGAATACATACATGCATTTTAACATTTTATAATATAATCATTGACTATTTGTAATAAAATAATTTTGTAATTGAATAATTTTCATGTTCATTTTATTCAATTGCTTTTATTTTCTTTTATTCAACCGTTTATAAAAAGAAAGTACACTTGAATAATATTTTCCAATTATCTTTTTTAAATATTCGACTTTAACCATAAAAATATTTTCCATATCAAGAAATTTCCAATTTTAAAAACAACATTTTCACATTTTAATAGCTTTTCTGTGAACATTTTCAAACAAGTTCTGTTAAAAATTTATTAATTATAATTTGAAATTGTAGATGGTATCTGAGGAATCCTTTGGCGATATTTTTAAAGAGCGTCAATATACACTTTGTATTCGTAACTGGTTATCACCTTTTCTTCGAGTTTAACAAGTATTTTCATTATTTTCTTTATTTTCTTTTATTGTGAAAGGTGTAGAGTTAACAAATATAAAAAAAAATAAAAATAAAATGATGAACGAACGATTGATGGCACAAAAGAAGAACCTCTAAGTTGTGAAAGTGCATTTTCAAACAGCATTGATCTTTTCCATTTACATCATTAAAATTCACTTGAAGTTCACTTTTTTCTCATATTAAAAGCGGGTGTAGTTCAGTTAACTTTTATTACAATTTTTTATATTTTTTATATTTTTATGGTACAATGACGTTTGAATAATTTTTCATCCATTGAGAAGCAAAAATTCCTGAACCAAAATTGGTTATTGTGGTGTTAGTTTTATTTTTCATTAGTTTGTAGTTACACGTTACTTAAATTCTTTGTAATCGATCAAAATGTTTTTGTTCATAACAAACTGGTAATATTTGACAAGAAATAATAAAAAGAGTAGGAAAGAAAATGTTCGCTGTAACTTTAGAAAAGAAAATGAATGATTTTTAGTGGGAAATTATGCAATTTCAAGTAATAAA